ACTTGTTTTTTGCTCATGGTCCCTTTCCTGCTAATTTCACTCGTGTCCCATCCTTCTCCCTCCCCTTCCATCCGTCCTCGCTTCCACTGTTTGAATGGGCTGCGCTAAATTCACGTGGCAGGCAAGAAAGAGATACCCCCAAGGGGGTACGATCGAAGACGAAGAGGGCGGGTACCGAAGGTTTGGGATATACGTGTTGAATGGCACGCGAGTTGATACGAGTGAACAGTCTTAAAATGATTGTTCCTGGTGTTGTTGTTGATCTTGCACTCCAAAATCATGATCATTGTTGATCCCCCTCCGGTGACCTGTGTATGGTTTCACTTACCTTGTTCCTTTCTGGGCCTGCGCCCCGCTTCTCTCGGGCCTTGCATCCTGTTTTGATGAAGAGAATGCACGGTGTCACCAAACTGGGCCCCTGGCCCCCGAGTTACAACAACAACGGCTCCCGCCTGATACCTCGTCAAAGTTAATTTCGAAATCGCGCTCTCGCGCAGGACCTCTCACCAGTGTGTGCAGGAATCGCGCTCTCGCGCGGGACCCCTCACAGTTCATTCAGACGCCGCGCCCTCGACACTCCGGACGTCTCACGGTTTGCTTGAGAATCGCGTTATCGCTCGAGACTTTCTCGCGACGCATGCAGGACGCACGCTTCAGCAAGCCGCCTGGTTAACCTGGCCGCGCTTTCCCGACCCGCGCGTTAAGGCTTACCCGCCCGATCAGCCCGCATGGTTCTGCCTTGTGCTTTCTGCTCCCAGCCCCCCACCCACGAATTGGGGCGAAGTTGCCTCCCGGTTCGGGGCCGAAGTCCCTGACTCCGTTTGGAGGCTTCGCCCTGGACGTCAAATTCGGAAGGCTTGAGATCCTCCCCGATTGGTGAGGTGGTCGTCCTGCATGCCAACTCGCCGTTTGGACGTAGAGGCACCGCCTGCTTGGAGCACGCCGCGTGGCGGCGGTGCCCGCGGGTATTGTTTTCGCGCTGCGAAGCCCCAGCTGCCGCTGAAGCCCCGCGCAGGCACTGCACCTGTGGGCTACACCCCAGTTAAAGGTTGCGCACCATCCTCAGTTCTTCCTCCACCTTGTCGGGGGACGAAGTCTATACATATCCACTGCTCCCTGGCCAGGCCCATCCTGAACCCAGGAGCTGTGTATACGCCCTCCTGGCCAAACCAGGAGGGCGTGGCGTATACACAGCTGCTGTGTTCAGGATGGGCCTGGCCAGGGAGCAGTGGATATGTATAGATTGCGTCGCCCTACCTTGTCCCTTCCTTCCATCCGTCCTCTCTTCCCTTTCCTGGAGGGCTGCACGAAACACACGTTGTTGCAGTTGAGAAAGACATGCCACCAGGGGGGCACGGTCAAAGGCGAAGCGGGCGCGTATCAAGCTCTGGGATATACGTGTTGAACGGCACGCGAGCAGAGAACAGCGAGCAGTCTTAACATTGTTGTTGCTGTTGCTGTTGCTGCCGCGGCTGTCGTTGTTGCTGTTGCTGCTGCTGTTGCTGCTGCTGCTGTGCAATCTCACCCCTAAATGCGTATTGTTGATCCCCCACGCCCGGTGGCCACTGCGTTTCGATTCATCAGGGTGCTCATCCGGGGGCTCGTACATCGTTTTCTTACACAGGATAATGTTGGTCTCCAAACTGCTGTGTTGGGGACCCGAATTACAACAACGGCTCCCGCCTGATATTTCGTCACAAGCACAGCTGATTGAGAAATCGCGCTCTCGCGCAGGACCTACCAATAATAAATGCATGAATCGAGCTCTCGCGTGGGACTTCCTCGTAATTTATTCAGACGCCGTGTCCCCGACATTCAGGAATCGTGCTCTCGCCAATTATGGTTTGTTGCGCGATTCATTTGGGAATAGCGCTATCGCTCGAGACGTCCGCGCGATCCATGCAATACTCACGCTTCAGCAAACTACCTGCTCGACCTGACCTGACCGGTCGGGCCCGCCTTCTCGACCCGCTTAGGGTTTACCCGCCCCATCAGCCCGTCTGGTTCTGCCACGTGTTTTCGTATCGAGGGATTGGGATAGGCCTGTCGAATGGCACGTGAGCAGGAAAGAGTGAGCAGTCATAAAATGATTGTCGTTGTTGTTGTTGTTGTTGCCTCTGTTGTTGGTTATGATGATAGCGATGATGATGAGGATGCTCATGCTAATGCGTATTCTCATGACGATTATCATGATGATGGCGACTAGGATGACAAGGATGTTGATGATTAGGTCTGGAATGAGGATGAGGGTGACGATGGTTACGATTATGTCACGCCCCTGTGCGTGACAACGCTGTCGAAGCTCTTCCAGCGAGCCCCCGGGCTTGCTTTAGACCTGGGCACGCGAAGTACGAGCAATGGTTATATATATATATATATGTACATATATATATATGTGTACATATATATATATATGAATATGTACATGTGTATATGTGTATATTTCTTTACAGATATAGCACTTCCGAACAGCGGCCCCGACGAGGGGAGGTCAGAGCCCCCGCACGTCACGGTGGTGTCTTCCGTGCCACACTTTGGGCCTCCGGCGGCCAATTCGGGACGATCCTCCAGCATCGATCTCGGTCCGACGTTGGAGGCGTGCATCGGGGGCCCCCAAACGGGGTGGTGACCACACCGTGCGGTGAGTCGGTGGGGGTTCGGGGTCACCGCACGGTTTTGGGACTCGAGTCCCTCTCCGAGGATGTCTCGGGCGACACGGGCCTCCAGGGTCCCAAAAGCGTGCGGTGACGGACCGTGCGGTGAGATCTTTGGGGATTTCGAGGTCACCGCACGGTCTGTCACCGCACCGTTTGGGGACTCCAAGGTGCAGCCCGCTCGAAAAAAAACGCGATGCTGGCAGAGGCCCGGCGCCGCGCGACGCCGCCGCCGCCGTGCGCCGCCGCGGCCCTGGCCTTGGCTCTCGGTTCGACGCTCGCCGCCGCAGCCGCCGCCGTGCGACGCCGCCGCCGCCGTGCGACGCCGCCGCCGTGCGACGCCGCCGCCGTGCGCCGCCGCCGCGCGCCGCCGCCGTGCGATGCCGCCGTGCGCCGCGGGACGCCACGGGCGCCGCCGTGCGACGCCGCGGGCCGCCGCCGCAGCCGCCGCCGGCGCGCGGGCTCGGCGCGGCCGCGGGCGGCCGCCGCCGCCGCCGCCGCGCCCGGCGCAGGCCGCGGGCGGCCTCCTGCGCGGGGAGGGCCGCGGCGGGGGCGGCCGCCTCTCGGCGCGCGGGCTCGGCGCCGCGCTCGCGCGGGCGTGCCCCGAGGCCCGCGGGGGGGGCGCGGCGCCCCCGCGCGCGCGCGCGCGGCGACCGAAGCCGGCACTCTGCGGCGGCGGCGGCGGCGGCGGCGGCGGCGGAGACGACGACGACGACGACGACGGCGACGACGGCGACGACGACGACGACGCCGCCGCCGCCGCCGCCGCCGCCTCGCCGCCGCCAACGCCGCCGCCGCAGGCAGCTCGCGTTGCGGTCGAAGCCTTCTCGCGCTGTGGACGGCGGCGGAGGGTTGCCCGGACTTCCTTGCCAAACCACCCCGACCCAACCCGACGGACCTAGACCCCTTCCAATTTTGGGTTCGGGGGCGTACGCGTTCCAGTGTTTTTTGGATGTTCTGGAACGCCCCCCTACTGGAAATTGGCTGGCCCAACAGCGATTTCATTCGCAGCCGGCGCTCTGCGGACGGCGACGACGACGGCGGCGGCGGGTTTTTGGGGGACGGTGTCGTTTCGGCGGCGCGCTTGGGGGGAAGGGAAGTGAGTGGGGGCAGGCCATCTCAGGAGGCGGTGGGGCTTCTCAGAATCCTGGCGGCCTTCTGAGGAGCCATCTCCGTCCCCGAGAAAGCTTCCAAAGTTTCGCGGACGACTAGACGCTACTCCAGATTTCGTAATAAAAGGGAGGTGGTCTGGACCCCCCAAAGACAAGCCATTTCAGACCTCCCCCGTGGAAGAACCCTCCAAAACATCGTCCCCAGAACCCCCGAGGCCTTCCAAGATAGCCTGGAAGAGGCCCCCCCCCGAAATGAGACCCCCCTCCCTCTATTACGAAATCTGGATCAGACGCCTTCCGAACCTTCTGAGAAGCCCCGCCTCCCTGACTTCCTCTGAGCTGGTGACAGCGCGGCGCCGCACGCCAGGCCCGACGCCCACGGACAAGCCAAGGGCCAAGCGGTGCAAGCGGTCCTGGCTCCCACGCCGACTCGCTCGAACCCGGTGCCACCTAGACCCAGCCGGCTACGGACCCCAGTGCAAGGCACCATCTGTTGTGTTGCACCAGGCAAAGTTCCAGGAGGGGACAAAAAGCCAACCAGGCACCATGAATCGTCAATTCCCCCGGAAAATGTAGGGAAACATGGGAAGTGGTGGGGAAGACAGAAGCCCCAACAAATATTGGGAAATCTGGGATTTGTATGTTTTTAGTGTGTATGTGTATGTGTGTATGTGTGTATGTGTGTACGTGTGTATGTGTGTATGTGTGTATGTGTGTATGTGTGTATGTGTATGTGTGTCTGTGTGTGTGTCTGTGTGTGGTGTGTGTGTGTGTGTGTGTTTGTGTCTGTGTGTCTGTATGGCTGTGTGTCTGTGTGTCTGTGTGTCTTGTGTCTGTGTGTCTGTGTGTCTGCGTGTGCGTGCGTGCGGGTGTGGGTGTGGGTGTGGGTGTGGGTGTGGGTGTGGGTGTGTGTGCGTGTGTGTGCGTGTGTGTGTGTGTGAGTGTGAGGGTGTACGTATCTGTGTGTCTCTGTGTGTGTTTGTGTGTGTGTTTGTGTGTGTTTGTGTGTGTTAATGTGTGTGTTAGTGTGTGTGTGTTGTGTGTTTGTGTGTGCTTGTGTGTGTTTGCGTTTGTGTGTGTTTGTGTGTTTGTGTGTGTGAGAATGTGTGTGAGTATGTGTGTGCGCGTGCGTGCGTGCGTGCGTGTGTGTGTGTGTGTGTGTGTGTATGTGTCTTTGTGTGTGTCTGTGTGTGTCCGTGTGTGCGTGCGTGCGTGGGTTGGTGTGTGTATTTGTGTGTGTGTGTCTGTGTGTGTCTCTCTGTGTGTGTGTCTGTGTTTTTTTTTATGTGTGTGCGTTTTTTTTATGTGTGAGTGTGTGTGTCTGTGTGTGTGTGTCTCTGTGTGTGTCTCTCTGTGTGTGTTTATGTGTGTGTGTTTATGTGTGTGTGCGCGCGTGTGTGTGTGTGTGTGTGTCCTTGCGCCCCTTTGTATAAGGCTCCATTTGTTGTGTTGCACCCGGCAAGTTGCCACCGCAAGGGGGCGCCATCTTGCCTGCAGCAGCAGCAGACCAAGGGCCACGCTGGCTGGCTGACGACGGGAACCCAAGGCGACCCACTCCAGCACTAGTACCGTTAAGTCGGGCCTGTTCCTCTACAGGAGGAAAATGTTTTGACTATTTTTGAGCATGTTGGGGTATCTTGGGGTATTTTTGATTTTTCGCCCAAAATCTCCCTGTAGGGGGACAGGCCCGACCTAACATTAGTATTGTTTAAGGGGGTCTCATCCAAGCTACCGCCCAATACACCACCGCAAACCAAACGCGAGCCGAAGGCACGCGGCGGTAGCAACGTCCGCCCAAAGGCGAAGTTGCGAAAGCCGCCGCCCATCAAAGTAAAGTCCTTGAACAAAGCCCCACACGGACACGCTGTGCCAGCAGACGACGCCGCCGATCGAACAACCACACGCGGGAACGAGGCCGACAGCGTGCGACAACCGGACTTCGCTGCTCGTCTGACCGACACCAACAGCAGCATGCGCTGCGAGCGCAACACGCACCTCTTCAATATCCACGTCCACAAGATGATTCCGGAGTACTTTGCCAGCATGGGCGACGCAGCGAACAGTTACGATACATATGGCCACAGCTACAACGGCAACAGGAAGCACGAATGCCGTTGACCTTCGTCGAGGCATCGCTGGGCTACGCGACACGATGGGCTACGGGGAGCTCGTTTCTTCAGGATGGCCCACAATCAGACCGTCCTCGCCAATTTCGTTTACCACCAGCTCGCCGCGATGATAGCGTACCCGATTGGCGACGATTGCAGCAACGTGCCGACGCCGGCTGCCGTGGCCCACCAGCGCCGCACCCGTCTCATGTACATCAAGTTGGGCATGCGCTACAGTCGAGGCGTTGACCTAAGGAACCCTAAATAAGGAACGAGGCCCCTTTTTCCCACAAGTTAAACCTCGATTTCCCATGGAAAACCTCAGGAAAACCCGAGGCAAACTTTGAAACAATCAAGGAACACCGAGCCCCTCCCCAATGGAAAGGGTTCCTTCTTCTGCGCCCCGGCTGTACAGCCCCGCGCCCGAGCCCGCGCCATTCACAATCACGCAATTTCAGAGGGACACCGCCGCCGCAGCCATCAACTCGATCGACGGCTGATCAATGCCCAGGGAGATGACCTGCCAGGCAGCGCCGCAGGACAGACAGCCTATAGGAAGGACGGAAGCCCAAGACCACATAGTGCAGCAGCTCCAACAGACGACGCCACCAATCGGGATCCACCCAACACCAGCTCGAGCAGCGACCCACCAACCAAACTCCAGCACCACTGTTCACCGCCAGCACTACCCACGCAGCAAGTGCATGAGGAGGTGCGCCTCGACAACACCATCTCTAGGCTGAGCCGCCTGGAAGGAGCCCTTGGCCACTACTTGCAGCAGCGCCTCATCTCCGACACACCACATACGGCTGGCGACCGCCAGCAATGACCAGCAGCACGCGCCAGCAACCATCCGCACGACGGTCACCGACTCCGACACGACGACGCCCGCCGACAACCTCAGCAATGCCAGCCCTCCCACAGGGACAACAGGACAGACTCTCCATCCAGAGGGAGAAGGAGAAGGACACGACAACCCTGCGGACCTGCAGAACCAGGAGGTCCACAGCTCGGAGGCAGCCACCACGTTCGGAGCTGAAACAGCGTGGCAACCGTGGCCACCTTGCGACGTCGCCTACCAGTTCTAGTGCAACACCCCGGCGAATCAGGAGCGCCTTCTTGATCGCCCACAACCCGCGAGGCTCAGGCCTCAGGATGGGCCCGGCCGAACGGCGGGCCATCGGTGCGTCGTGCTTTCTTCAATGCTGACCGTCCTGCCCCACTCACAGGCAGCAGGTCCTACATGCGACCAGCAGCTTCGTTCCACTCCACGTCTCTGCACGATCCTTTCACAAAGCGTCAATCAGCCTCGACTCCCGGCCGCTTTTCCGCACTACCATCCACTACCTCCCTTCGCGCGGTGGCGGGGTGGGCTTGATCCATGGAAGGCTGGCGAGCGCAGGGGCCCAGCGCTGGCCGTCCCGGCAAGGGTCGGGGCGGCCGCGGCTGCATCATGGCCAGCCCCACTGGCGCCAGCTGCGCGCCCCTCCTCAGCCTCCTCCTCCTCCTCCTCCTCCTCCTCCTTCTCCTCCTCCTCCTCCTCCTCCTCCTCCTCCTCCCCCTCCTCCTCCCCCTCCTCCTCCTCCTCCTCAGCCATTCCTCTCGTAAGCGGCCCGCGCGCACGGCCCTTCCGAGTTCAGGATGCCAAATTTGGGAATGGCACTGGCACCTGGGGCCCCATGCACCTCCTCTGCTGCGGTCTAGGCCGGCCGACGGTGTGCCTGGCAGAGGGGAAGGCGCGCAGGATACCTGCAGCACGGCGAGTGTGATGCACCAGGCCCCGTTTCTCTTCCTCCTCTTCCGCTTGCCCCTCCTCGTCCACCTCTGGGTGCAAGCAAGCAGCTCGGCCGGGCGCACTGCGCGCAGGAGCAGGGCTAGGCGGCTGATGACGGACGGAGGGAGCATCGCTTGCTGTGGCCCTTCGGCGAGGCTAGCGGCCCACATGGCAGCAGGCTCGGGCCCGACCTGCCATGCCAGGAGAGCGCGCCGCCACCTACAAGGTATCGCGGAAGAGGGACATCGTGTCCGCCGTGGAGGAGTGTTGCGGCTGTCATGGCTGAGCCTGGCCCAAGCCCTACGGGGCAAGCAAGGCAGACGCGGGGCAGCTGGCCTACGAGCTCCACTACGGTTTTTTTTTGGGGGGGTCGGCAATGTTGGTGGGATGTTTTATCAATCCATTTGCGACGTTGCTGTCTCATATGTTGGGTTCAGTTTGCTTTCACGTTCATGTTCTCAGCTTGAAATTGGGCTGGTATTTTACGCTGCATACGTCAACGTTGCCAGTTTGATATTGCATGGGTGGTGGTGCCCTCAAGGATCAGAGCTCTTGTAGAGTGTATACGCAACGTTTGTGGTCATTCATTGCTTTGCTGCGCGCTCTCATCAGTTGTGTTTCTTGGTTTCGATTGGCTTTAGCAAACGCCGAATGGTCAGTTGACGGTCCCCGCACATAAGAGCACAATGCGTTCACATGTCGCGCAGAAGGCGCTGCACTGAGCGAGCAGGCACCCTCGCATCTTTCCTTGGGAGGGCGCTCTAGATAGCAGAATCCTCCTCCTCCTCCTCCTCCTCCTCCTCCTCCCCCTCCTCCTCCCCATCCTCCTCCTCCTCCACCTCCTCCTCCTCCTCCTCCTCCAGCCTTTCAGCTTCGAGCTTACCGATACCTGACCAGCCGCTTCGATCTCACCGCTCAGCAGTTGCGATCTTGAGTCGGCTGCCAACCACCAGCGGCGCGGGGTGATGTTGGATCATATGTGGTGGATGGGGGGGGGGGGGGCGGCACACTCCAGCAACAACCGTGCCACCGCCGAGGAAGGCATCAGCCTCCCCCCAGCACTGTGGAACCCTCCCAAGCGGCCACAAGCGGCCTCTTTCTTGCCATGGGGAGGGTGCCAGTCGCAGGGATGGTGGACACCTCGGCGGGCGTCCTAGTCGCAGGGGGCGAGGCATTTGCGCCGTGCTCCTGGTCGTGCGTGGCCGGCCACCTTGCAGTGGCGAGCGCGGCCACTCCCACACCGCCACGGAGGCTCAAACCTCAAACGCCACTATCCCCCCCTTTCGCCCGACCCGAGACTCGGTGGAACCCCTCAGGCGGCCCCGAGGTCAGCGCGTTGGGAACCCTGCGCCTGTTTGACCTGGAGGACGCCTGCGGGCGGTCCCTTTAGGCGGAGGGAGAGACCGACCATAGCACGCCCACTGTTCGTCGCGCAGTCACCCTCGCTCCCAGCGCCTGCCCCGCCGCTTCGACCGCATCCCTCGGACGCGCCGCGGGTGTCCCAGGCGGCCAGCCGCCGCCGCTCGGTCATGTTCCTCTCGTCGTGCACGTGGCCGCCAGCCTCTGGCAAGTGAGGACGCCAACCTCAGCCTCTGACAAATGAGGGCATCTAAACAAAAGTGGACCCTGGGGTGACCCCAGGGCGCTGGCCCCAAGAGGCCAGAGGACCCGATGGGGGGAGGACCCGGCCCAGTCAAAAAACAGATGTCGGGCTCAGTGGGCCCTCTCTCGCTCTATTGCGCAACCATTGCCGCCACGCTGAATTCCTTCCGCTCACCTCTCCCCTTTGAGGTCACGATGTTGGCTTCCTCCCCCTCCTGCTTCCCTCTCTTGTCTGTCTATCACTTCTGCCGCTTTACTGACAGCCCCGCCAGCCGGCGGCTCCTGGAGCGGCACTCCAGGATCTGGACGCCCGAAATGGGTACCAAACGAATGGGTACAATGCCTAACAGCAGTTCCTGTTCATCTTGAACAGGACTCGCTGTCCGCGCCGCCGCGGCCCGTGTCCATCTGAGACAGGAAGCCTCCTGCCCAACAGCGGCCGAGGGACTGTCGGCGCAGCCGCAGCCACAAGCTCTCGGCCGAGGGACTAAACGCCTGGAGGGGGGATGAAGATGCCACCTGGTTCCTCATTACTGGTGAATGGAAAGAACGTCGTTCGTAGCCTTCCCCTGTTGTGATTTGGGGCAGCACTTGTTGTTGGGTATTGTACCCATTCTTTCCGTGCCCATCTCGGGCGTCCAAACAGGAGCCGCCTGGTTTTGGTTTGATCACCCCCCCAGGGCCGACCGGCACTGGGAGGGGGAGAGAGCCATGTTCGAGGAATTGTCCATAGACCAGGAGCAGGAACGGAGGAGAAAGAAGAGGAGGAGGAGGAGGACGGCGAGTAAGTAAAGGAGGAGGAGGAGGAGGAGGAGGAGGAGGACGAGTAGGAGGAGGAGGAGGACGAGTAAGTAGAGGAGGAGGAGGACGAGGAGGAGGAGGAGGAGGAGGAGGAGGGTGGAGTTTATCCCTCGCCGGGAGAATTAGGAGGAGGGGGCAATAGCTAAAGACGTCTTAGTTATTGCCCCCCCTGTTTCATTCGGCGGGAAATAGCTTGCCCCTCCTGCTCGTCCTCCTCCTCCTGCTTCTGCTCCTCCTCCTCCTCCTTCTCCTGCCCCTCCTCCTCCTCCTCCTCCTCCTCCTCCTCCTCCTCCTTCTCCTGCCCCTCTTGCTCCTCCTGCTCCTCCTGTTCCTACTGCTCCTCCTGCTCCTCCTGCTCCTCCTGCTGCCGCTATTGCTGCTGCCGCTGCTGCTGCTGCTGCTGCTGCTGTGACTGCTGCTGCTGCTGCTCCTCCTCCTCCTCCTGCTCCTTCTCGGGAAAGTATGGGGAATATGTTTATTTGTGTATTTACGTGTGTGCCCTGGGGCCCCTTCATACCAAGCGGGCGCCGCCGACGCGACGCCGCCGTCGTCGGCGTTGGCGCCCTGGGCGGCCTCGGCGTCCGCGGGACAGCGCGGCGGCAGGCGGGCGCCGGGGCGCTGGCGCTGGCTGGGGAGCTGGCGGCCGCGGTGCACGCAGAGGGCGCGGCGGCGTCGGGGGAGGCTTGTGCGGCGGCCGCCGCCGCCGCGGCCGTGCTGTCGTGGCCGCCGCCGCAGCGGTCAGCCCGTGTCCGTCGCCGTGCGTCGTGCGTCGTCGTTCGCTCGTCGTGGTCGTCGCCCGTCGTCGTCGTCGTCGTCGTCGTCGTCGTCGCCGTCGTCCGCCTCGGACGCGCGTACAACGCATGGCGGCGGCACTACATGCCTTGCATGTTAGGGGCGGCCTTAGCGAGTGTTACGCATTCAACATGCGAGAGTCTGCAAGCACAGCACATGTTCGCCTGACCATGCCCAAGCGGCACACCGCCGCGCGCCTGTGCGCGCGACGCACCCCTCGGCTCGAGCGTACAGAAGCACTAAATCAAACATTACATTGGAGAAGATCCCAATTACACCCGAGAAGAGCTCCAATCAGTGGATGGTTTGAACGTTTGGCAGGCACCATGCCTGGCCGCAGTTTCGCCGTAGGGCCCGACGGTGTCCTAAACACTGATTCGTTGTAAGTTTTACAAGAATGGTGGCATTCTCGCCTTAATCGGCATGTGCCGGTTCGTCGACGGCCCAATACGGCCATGCTTTCCTTCTCTGTCCTCTCCCGCTGTGTATGTGCAGCTGTGTTGGGCTGGGGTGGGCCGGGCTGGTCGGTGAAAGCCAAGGGGGGCCCCATTTTGTCAAGTCGCCGTGCTGGGCTGGGGTGGGCCGGGCTGGCCCGGTAAAGCCCGGGGGGCCAGTTTGTTAATTCGCCGGCCTGGGCCGGGGCGAGGAGCGTTCGGCCGTCGGCCGGCCTCTCCTCTGAGGGTGCTCTGAGCGCCCCCCTCCTATCTTCACTTGTCAGCTTCCTTCTGTTCCTCCTCCTCCTCCTCCGTCCTCCTCCTCCCTCCTCTTCCTCCTCCTCCCTCCTCCTCCTCCTCCTCCTCCTCCTCCTCCTTTCCTGCTCCCCATGCTGATGATCCTCCTCCTCATCCTCCCCCACTGTGTCAAAACATTGTGTTGGACTGGTGTGAGCTGGTTTGGTCGGCTACCGCCAGAGGGACCCTGTTTTGTTAAGTCGCACGCTTGGGTGGGGTGGGCCGGATTAGCCGGATAAAGACAGGGTGACCTCATTTTGTTAAGTTCCTTTGTTGAGTTTGGGTGTGGTGGGCTGGCTGGTTGAAGCGGGGGGGGCTCATTTTGGTGATTTGCCGTGCTGGGCTTGGGTGGGCGTTTCTTTTTCTGACGATCGATAATGAGACCGATAGTGAAGTCGATTGAGTTAAATCGATAGTGAGGTTGATCGTGAGACCGATCGTGCGATCTATAGGGAGGTCGATTGTGAGATCGACAATGATATTGATGGTACGGTCGATAGTGCGATCAATGGTGAGATCAATAGAGATGGCGATAGTGAGATCGATAATGAGACTGGTAGTGAGAGTGAGATCCATAGTGAGATCGATAGTGAGATCGGGTGGAACACCGATTACGAAATCGGTAGTAAGATCTATTGAATGAGGTGGATAGTTGGAACGATCATGAGATCGACGGTGAGTTTGATCGTGTGATCGAGAAAGCATCGATATAAGCAGATCGACCGGGAACCCGGGAACCCCGACGCCCACCGAAATCGACCCCGAACCACCAACCAGGAACCCAGGAACCCGGAATTGGGAACCCAGGAACCCATCCGGCCACCGAAATCGGCGCAGATTTTTCGCCAAATGTTTCAACATCCACTAGGACCCCTTCTGTGAAAGCACTGATTGGGGAATCCTCAGCCTGTTTTTTGATTCCAGGGCGATGACGGGCGTCATCGTGGGGGCGGGGGGACAGGGGGCCGGTGACGTCACGTTTCGCGCCAGCGGCGTCTGGGAATGCCTAGGAATAACTGGTCGACCGAGGACGGGTAGGAGCAGCAGGTGGCGATCTGCACCACAGCGCTTGTGTGAACCACAGTGCGTGCGTGCACCACAGCGTGTGTGTACACCACAACGGCGCCTGCGTACACCACAACAGCCGTTCGCAACACAATAGCAATGTACGCCACAATGCATACGTGCTCTACAGCACCTGTTTATACCAGAGCGCCTGCGTACACAGCAGCCGTGTGCAATACAGCACCAGTGTACACCACAGTGCCTGTGCACACCACGAACACCATTGTTGTAATGTCAGCTTGTGCCTGACAGAAGCAAGCGGGGCGTGTGATTTAAAAATGGTTCCCCTGCTCGGGCGAATCGCTGGGGGGGCGCCCGCCAAATTGAAACGCACGGCGGCCCGCCAGTGATTAGCGCCGACTTGGCCGACAAGACGGTGAGAGTGAGCAAACAAAGCGGTGCATTGGAGATTAGTCTTGCGACTCGATATTCGGCCGCTCCTAAACCACAAGTCTGCATTCTCTTCCTTGGCCACACAGGCACGCCCACAATACCAGCCTGAGCAGACATTCGCGTCACCAGCGATACGAGTTTCAACGCTATCCGATCCGAGCACAGCTGCGAGGAACTCAAACAGTTCACCTCTGGCGACGGTCTGGCAGGGCACTGGGAAACTTCCCCGAACCGAATTTTACAACTACATATTAGGGCGAGAGGGAGGAAATCGGCCACGCGCAGAGAGGGGACAGGGGCAGGGGGGAAGGCTTCTTAGAAGCACCCGTGCTTCTCAGAAGGCGCGGGCCTTATCCCTAGATGTCGGGCCGGCGCCTTCGCAGAGGCAGCCTCCTTCTGAGAAGCCTCCCCCCCTACCCTGCCCCCCTTTGTGCGCGTCGCCAATCTTAGGGCGAGAGGGAGGAGGGGAGGGGCGCGGTCGGAGTACAGTCAACGCGCATAGTAAGGACAAACGACTTGTTCAAGGGTACCCTTGGGTCTTGCGTCCTTGCCACGCGTCCTTACTATACGTTTTCACTGTACAGGGCCCGCGGTCGCGGAAGCGTTTTGGGCGGGGGGGGGGCGGCCCACCGAACGCGAGGCGGTGCCGTGGTGGCTGCAGGTTGACGTCGGCGGCCAGCGCCAGGCCGAGGGGGGGAGTGAGCACAGAGGGTAGGAGGTGGGAGAGAGGAGGAGGAGGAGGAGGAGGAGGAGGCGGAGGAGGAGGAGGAGGTATAGAAGTGAAACGTTCGTTCCGAGGCTGTACTAGCGTGTCGTTTGAGAAAAGGCTGTACTGGTTCAATGCCCATCACGGCTCCAGGAGCATGTAAGGATCATGAGCGGTGCCGGAACGGAGTGAGAATGTAGCAAGAATGGAGCTGGAATGTAGCAGGAATGAAACACAAGTGGTGCCATAATAGAGCAATAGTGGTGTGAGCTTGAAGTGAGATTGGAGCAAAGACGGAGAAAGTAATGAAGTGAGCACTGATCAAGCATGGAGCAATAGTATAACAATCACGGAACACACATGGAGCAGCCATAGAGCAGTAATGAAATGAGTGTAGACTACGTGTGGAGCAATAGTAAATAAAGCATCGCAGCCCAGGAATGGAGTAGTGATAATGTCACGGGAAATAGATCAATCCGATCTCTCCGTTCCAAAAACAGTTGGCGCGCTTAATTTTGCCGAATAGACCAACGTGATCGAAGGACCTGCATCGGTCTCGATCGGGCCTGCATGGTCCGTACCAGCAACCCTGTGCGGCGCGGTGGTTGCTCGCACAAAGAGGCTATCCAAAGTATGCCAAGGAAACAGGAAACGAGCACAGCCAACAGGGGGTACAGCAGGCAGTGGTCGAGGCTCATCGGGGACGCGGCACCGCGTCGGCGTGTCCTTCCCATACAGCTCCAGACCCACAGGGTAGTGGGGTCTGGGAATGCTCCCACATTCATGTATCACCTCGGGCTGGCGAGAGACACGGGACGCGAGGTTGCTGGCCACCAAGAAATAGTCGATGCTGGACACTCCGTTGGAGGTGACGCACTTAGAGGCCGACGGCTGGAGGAGAGTGCCTGCCAATGACCCAACCCAGTCGCCAATGTTGATACTCTGGCCGTCGGGAGGAGGAGGAGGAGGAGGCGGAGGAGGAGGAGTAGGAGGAAGAAGAGGAGGAGGAGGAGGAGGAGGAGGAGGAGGAGGGGCGGCCCCCTGGGCGGTGGCGCGCCCGAGCGCTCGCCCGACGGAGGACGGCGCCCGGGCGTGCCAGCGCTCACAGAGGTCTGGTCGTCCCCTCCCCCTGGGTAGTCGGTAGCAGGGGGCCCGCCGCGCGGCCGCAGGCGCACGGCCCGCGGCCACCGGAGGCCAGGGCGGCCTGGTGCTGCGAGCACGCGGGCGTGGGCTGCGCGGCGCGGCCAGCGGGCAGCGGCCCGGTCGGAGCGCCCGGCCCGCCCTGCCTTCGGGGGTGGCACGGAGGAGGAGGAGGAGGAGGAGGAGGAGGAGGAGGAGGAGGGGAAGGAAGAAGAGGAGGAGGAGGAGGAGGAGGAGGAGGGCGGGAGGAGGAGGAGAGGGCGAGGAGGAGGAGGAGGAGGAGGTGGGCGAGTAGGAGGAGGAGGACGGCGGTGAGGGTGGGTAGTGGGGGTGGGGGTGGGGGGTGGGGGGTGGGGGTCAAGCTAGCCAGCTCGAGCGAGTCAAGCATGGCATGACCATTCCCACCCGCCCTCCCACAACATAAGAAACAGTAATGGCACAACTGGGGGTTGCGCGGGCATTTCAGTGCGAGTGGAGGATACCCCAGGACACCGCATTGACGTCCGCGCGGGGTGTGCGCCGCGTCCCATTCCCGCCACGAATTTCGCAACGTCGACGACAAGACTGGCCATGTTGAAAGGAACAACGGACACGTTCCGCCCTCCCACAACATAAGAAACAATGCTGGCGCAACTGGGTGCTGGCGCGTAGTGTAGTAGTAGTAGTAGTAGTAGTAGTAGTAGTAGTAGTAGTAGTAGTAGTAGTAGTAGTAGTAGTAGTAGTAGTAGTAGTAGTAGTAGTAGTAGTAGTAGTAGTAGTAGTAGTAGTAGTAGTAGTAGTAGTAGTAGTAGTAGTAGTAGTAGTAGTAGTAGTAGTAGTAGTAGTAGTAGTAGTAGTAGGAGGAGTAGGAGTAGGAGTAGTAGGAGTAGGAGTAGGAGTAGGAGTAGGAGTAGTAGGAGTAGGAGTAGGAGTAGGAGTAGTAGTAGTAGTAGTAGTAGTAGTAGTAGTAGGAGTAGTAGTAGTAGTAGTAGGAGTAGTAGTAGTAGTAGTAGTAGAGTAGTAGTAGTAGTAGTAGTAGTGTAGTAGTAGTAGTAGTAGTAGTAGTAGTAGTAGTAGTAGTAGTAGTAGATAGTAGTAGTAGTAGTAGTAGTAGTAGTAGGAATAGTAGTCGTAGTCGTGTAGTAGTAGTAGTAGTAGGAATAGTAGTGTAGTCGTAGTAGTAGTCGTAGTAGTAGTCGTAGTAGTAGTAGTAGTAGTAGTAGTAGTAGTAGTAGTAGTAGTAGTTAGGAGTAGTATTAGTAGGAGTAGTCGTAGTCGTAGTCGTAGTAGTAGTAGTAGTAGTAGTAGTCGTAGTAGTAGTAGTAGTAGTAGTAGTAGTAGTAGTTGTAGTTGTAGTAGTAGTAGTAGTAGTAGTAGTAGTAGTAGTAGTAGTAGTAGTAGTAGTAGTAGTAGTAGTAGTAGTTACGCAGGACGAAAGATTTTCCTCTTGAGGTGAAAATGGCCATGAGGAGTTCGCGAGACAACGTCGGCGCCGCCGAACGGACGGCGACCGGACGAGCTGTTTGCAGCAACTGTAGGGGATGTATGTATGTATTCATGTTGAATGGAGCCCGCTCGCGCGGGGAGTTGATGGGAGTGCGCGAGACAACGCAGGGCCCATCGTGGAAAATTGATTACCGAACCCCCTTCCCCATAGAATCTTAACGCGGGCGGTTTGCGGGGCCCGCGGATCCGATTTCTTCCGGCTCCCTGGTTTAATTTAATAATATAAATTTAAAACAGGGTAGAAATCGGATCCGCCGTAAAAAATAAGACCGGACACGGATCCAGCGAATCCGAAATCGGATCCGTACGGACGGAAATCGGATCCACCAAAACAAACACCAAAGCCACATTTGGATCCGCGCGAGCTTCATGAGATCCGACGGCGGTTATCTCATACGGGTTCTGCACAAGACTTCACGCCGTCTTTCTAGGCCCAAGAGGAAAAAACTTTCGTCATGGGGATGTAGTAGTAGCCCTGAGTCGCCGAAAGATCGTTCCAAGACGCCCAAGATGGCCTCCAGACGGCCGCAGCGCCAAGAAACCGCGGGGAGACTCAGGAGGCCCTCCAAAAGCCTGAACAAGCAAAAACCTCCCAGGCATTCGTCACCCCAGGGCCTCCTGGAACGCCCCGGCGCCCAATGAATTGGCGAGCTAAAAAAGGTGCGCCGAGCCAAAGCGGGAGCGCAACTTTGAGAAAATTTTGCTCGGCGCCCAAGCGAGAAGGTCATTTCATTCACTTCGAGCGGGGGGGAGGGTGCCGCGCCCAATTCTTGCCATGCACTTTTACGGGGTGGACGACAAGAACAGCTATGTGGGCAAGCGAAAATCAGCATGGCATTGCTTCTGACAAGTAAGGTGGCCCCTCCCGCCTTGGAGTTGCCCCAGAAGTCCGCGCGCGATGTGCGCCGTGCCCCATTCCTGCCACGCGTTTCGCATCGTCGACGACAAGACAGGCCATGATGAAAGGAATAACGGAAACTCTGTATTGTTTTTTACAGTCAGGATGGGAGGGCCCGCGGCCCGCATGGACGTCCGCGCGCGATGCGCGCCGCGTCCCACTCCTGCCACATATTGCGCACCGTCGGCGACAAGGCAGGCCATGTTGAGAGGAAAAAACGGAGACTTTGGATAGATTGTTTACAGTCAGGATGGGCGGGCCCGGATCGACGGCCGCGCGCGATGTGCACCGCGTCCCATATGTGCGCCGCGTCCCACTGCTGCCACATGTTTCGCACCGTCGGCGACAAGACAGGCCATGCTGATCTGAAACAACGAAGGCTTTGTATTGATTGTTTACACTCAGGATGGGCGGGCCCAAAATGACTGCCGCGCGCGATGTGCGCCGCGTCCCATTCCTGCCACGCTTTTCGCATCGTCGACGACAAGAAAGGCGATGTTGAGAAGAAATACGGCCACTTTGTATTGATTTTTTACACTCCGGCTGGGAGGTCCCGGATTGGGCCGTTGTCGGCCAGAATACGAGGCAAATGGGGGTATATTCCAATAAGGAACAAGGATGGGGGTGGGGGTGGGGGGGGTGGGTTGGGTGGAGTTGGGGGTGGGTGGGTGGGGGTGGGGGTGTGTGCGTGCGTGTGCCTCCTGCCGAGACCAGGGTTCCGCGCGCGTCGATCCTTGGCCCAGGGTGGGCCCAGCCAGGATCGGTGGAGGTGTGGGTGTAGATCGGGAGGGAACAGAAACAGACACAGGCGCAAGGAATCGTCGATCTTCCAGAGGACATGGGAAAATATGGGCAGTGGGGGGGAAGGTGAAAATCCCCAGCGTATGAGAGAAACCCAAGAAAATCGGGCACCATGGGATTCGTGTGTACATTTATTTGTGTGTCCCTGGGACCCTTTAGTATGGTCTGCGTCCTCCTAGGCGAAGCAAAATGTCAGTGCGAGGCACAGTCGGGCGCCCCACCGGCGAACGCCTCGGGGCTTGACATGGGCAGAAACGGCGGCGGGAGGACGGTCGCGGCGCGGAGGATCGTAGACCACGAACGCGCAACTTGACAATGAGCAGGGGTTGCTTGTCCTTTGGGCCCGAGGAGACGCATCGAATCCCTCATGGATATGGTTAGTTGCTCAGGCCGGACGTTAGTTCAGGAGGGAAAAAAACACAGACACCATGAATTGTCGCTTCCCCAGAACATATGGGAAAATATGGGAAGTACGGGGGAAGACAGAAACCCAGAAAATATGGAGAACCTTCTTATTTGTGTGTCCTGGGGCCCCTTCATTAGTGCCGCCCTCAGAGCGCACTGACCACCTGGAGTGCCGAGCCACACAGGGCGGGCCCGGTGGGACGAGATGTCCCCCAGCGGCACAGTGATGCTGCATGGGGTGTATAGTTTCGGGGGTGGACAGAACCCCCAACAGTGACACGTCGATTAGTGAATTGTCCGTTTTCGGTTCTCGGGATGGCGCCGTGGCCGTTATTTTCTAGGCTTGCGCCCGCCAGGTTTGGGCCTCAGGTCGTTTTCACTACACCACGTTTTACTAAAGGGAGGTCTGTACATCCCCGATAGTTCACAAGAGTACACGCCGGTCGTTGAAAGTAGACATTTTTGGACTCCCAGATCCCGATCTACTTGAAGCGCCTTCCCACTTCAAGAATCGGCATGCTTTTGCCGTGTTTTGTTATTCTCTGGGGGGGCCTGGACCCGATCAACTGAATCCGCCTTCCTACCTGTTTCTACCTACTTCTTCCGCCCGAAGTGTAAACTTGTGCAACCAAGCGTAAGACCACGAACGCGTGTCCAACAATGCGTCTGGCTAGTTGGCGCCGCCGTTCGGTTGCAGCAGCATGCCCACTGCAATGACAGGGGGGGGCCGTCCCACGCTGCGCGAGTCCCCACTCGGCAGCAGGGCCGAACGCTCGGGTTCGGGGCCCAGGGCTTACTGGGCCCTGGAAACGACAGGGCCGTTTTTTACCAGTTCCGTTTTGCCGTTTTTGTAACCAGTTCCGACGCCGTTTTTTCACCGGTTCCGACGCCGTTTTTTTACCGGTTCCCGTTCCGGTTCCATTCTTGGAGCCGTTTTTGTTGTTGTTTCTTGTCGCCGTCTTTTTGCCGTTTCCATTTTCAAGGGACACTTTTTCGAAAACGGTGAAAAAACGGTCCTACCGTTTCCGGGGTCCACAAAGGCCCAGGGTGGTTACCGGGAGTTTTCGGGGCCCAGGGTGGTTCCCATCAGCTGCGCATCGTCGAGAGCGTTTTGGGGATGACAGAGTTCCAAAGGTCCAGACATTGAATTGCTGATGAATGCCCAAAAATGTTGGCCTTCGAACCTCAATCGACGACGACGCCTAGGGGCTTGACTTTCCCTCAGGACATCGCATGGGGTCCCTTTGAAAAATACGGAGCTGTCGTGGTGTCCATCCTGGCAAGTTTTCGCGCCGCGCCCAGTCGCGGCGACGTCTACCTCCAGAAAAGCCCCCCCAAAAAACAACATGACGACGACGACAACAACCACGAAGGCTTGGGGACGCGCAAGTCCAGTTCAGCGCTAACCCGGGTCAGCGGGTGTGGGGGAGATTCCATGTTTCGCAAACCCAGGTTAGCTTGGAGGGATCAGAGGAGATTGGCTGACCCACGTCAGCGCTGACCCCCTTGTCCTGCCTTGAGCGGCCGTTCGGA